GGGGTGTTGCTATATTTACCAGCCAGTCATGACGCCGCTGGTGGTAGATGAGTTCTTTTGTGGGGGCGGAGCGGCGTACTGAGGGGCCCCATACGGCGGAGGAGGGTAGCCTTGTGGAGGATAACCTTGTGGTTGTGGAGGATAACCTTGTGGGTATCCCTGAGGAGGATACCCATATGCATCCTTTGGTGGATATCCTATTTAATTATTTTCACATCCATATATATTCCATTAGATCCAATATATTTCCAAGAATATCATAAACAACACAACAAACAATATTATTAAAGAAAGTTTGTTACCTTGAGGGGGAGGGACACCAACTGGAGGAGGTTGATTGTAATAACTCATGATCAATTAATTGGATATAGATCTGTTGTTCGAATTATATGGTTTCAATATTGAAAGATTTTCTGAGATATATATATATAATTGCAAAACTATTTCCTCGATCTTAGTCTGATCTAGAATATGTCAACCGATCCCTGTGTAAGATTCAAGATTTCATATTTGTTTTCCGTATAATGGTCAAAATCCTAACAGGATAGAGAAACCCATCATGTTTGTTTCTGAAAACCAATTAGTTAGTTGATCACTAAACTGTCTAAGTTTTTCCTTTATAGGAAATCAATTCTTTAAGTACTTGGATTTTTCAACCGAAATAAATGCAAAAGTAATTACTTTTCATTTATTTAAAAATATAATAAAGCTGTTTCCCTATTCAAACGAAACCAAAGACCACATGATCCACTACTTTAGGTTCCTTTTCTTTAATTCTTGTCTAATGATTAAATCATTTTTATAAATTCTAATAACTTTTAGAAATTAGTCATGAGAAAGCCACCAACGTTTCATCTAACAATTCACTTGGATTAACAGTTATAATTTAATCATTAGACTGGAAACTCGTGATAATGTGGGTCGAATAATTATGTATGTCCTATTGGCCATTAATTTAAACGTATTCAAATCAGTTGCTTGAGAGTTTAAATCTACTTTTCTTATAACTCGTAGTCCAAAAAGATGTTAGACATACGTTTTCTTAGCTAAAGAAAGGGATTTAAGCTACATAAGATAATTATGTAAATTCTTTTCACATTAATGTAATTTATTCGGTGATAGAAATTAGTTACAACTATCGGTGTAATCACACTATCAATTAGTATTTCTCATTAAATTTTATTTTTATTTACCTTGCATATGACCTTAGTGCATTTTAATTTATATGCTACGTACGTACAAAATTTTATTACTAGGCAAAAGATATGTTTCTTAACACAAGATCGGAAAATAAAATCATGTATCATATGATTTGGAATACACGTGTGTTATATATATACATATATGTTAAAATTCATTTCTGGAGGTGGAGTGTTAGTTAGGCTTATGTTCTAACCTGTAAGACAAAGTTTCTTGGAGTAGCTGATCACTTTTGAGAGAATAAAGAGATAGAGGTAGAGGGTCTACATCAACTTCTAAAATTAAGATGGTTGGCGTTAGTCTCAACGATCGCTAACTAACCATATCTATCGTTTTCAATTCTTCGTTTTTCCCCCTTTTTTCTTCTTCCTCGTTCATTACTTAACGTTATTTCTTCTTCCTAATCTTGGCCATGCAAATTAAACCCTATTCTTTTGCTTCAAGTTTTACAGTTTCTCTTAAAGGCAATAGATTAGTAGTAGTAAAAAGACGATACTTTACTCTTTGCATGGTATATAAAAAGAAAAAGAAGCTCGAGTTGGGTTGAGTCTAATTAATAGAGTGGTGGAAATTAAAGATGACAGCAGGGAAAGGAGATGAATTAGTGCCTCATCCGGTGAAAGATCAACTTCCCGGAGTAGACTACTGTGTTAACAGCAATCCTTCTTGGGGTATGTATATGTATTAATTTTACACACATATTTCTTAATTACTTGATCACATTCATATAAATATTTGGCTCTGCTTGCTGACGTGGAAACCCACCTTAGCATTTTAGCTGATTTGAAATGCCTACTAATAAACTTTTCCGTCAAATTAAGAATTCTCTAACTAAATTTATTTTTTGAGCAACCAGTTAGTTTTGTGATTTTAAAGCGACAAAAGTGATTTTTTGTAGGAAAAAAATGGAAGTTAGAAGATTTTAAAGTGAGGAAAATTAGTTTAATGACTTTTGTGAAAAAGAATCACAGGTTGACTAACCATTTGAGAAATTAATCAAGAATTATTAAATCCTCTAATTTTGTGCATTAGATTTCCTTGAGTTTGGAGTCATCACAATTCAATTTGAGTAAATACTGAGGTAGCAAGCATTAATTGAAATCTGAGTCTCTATGACTATGGTTGTTAAAATTTGTAATTGGTTCACTAATCACCAGAGAGATGAGATGTTTAGTTAAGATCTTTCTTATTCCCAATACCACCTCACCAAGTCCGTGGGTTACGTTCCTCCTCTGTTTGATCATATATTGCAAAATTAAACAGTCGCCCCTATAAAATTAACTATTGACTGCTTGAAGTATGGAAGCTATATTCTGAGTTCCTACTTTAAATGATGCAGCTGAGGCAGTTATACTGGGTTTTCAACACTATCTAGTCATGCTTGGAACTAGTGTCATCATTCCCACCATCATTGTCCCTCAAATGGGTGGTGGCAATGTAAGTATCTTTTTAAAAATTGTATCTTTGTTAGAAAATATAGAGAACTTCTAATATCTTTTTTTTTTTTTTTTTTAAAGTTTTATGATTTTTGTATAATCTTGGTTTGAGATGAGCTTTAAATAAAGCAACTGGTCAGTGAGAATTCATATAGCCGATCTCAAGCTTTCTTGGAATTGAGGCGTAGTAGTAGTAGTTGTTTTCTCTTTGTTATCAGTTGTATGAAGTGTTATGCGTCCTACTTTAATTTGACTATTGAAAGTTGAGGGAATTAGTATATACTTATAACAGTTTATGTCTTCCAGGTGGAGAAAGCTCAAGTGATACAAACTTTGCTATTTGTTGCTGGGTTGAATACTCTTTTGCAATCTTGGTTTGGTACCCGGCTTCCAGTGGTGATAGGTGGATCATTCAGATTCATAATCCCAGCCGTTTTTATTGCATTATCCAACAGATACAATACATACCTTGACCCTCGTGAGGTTGGAGATTCTTGCTTCATTTTTGTGTTTTTTTGCGTTACTCTAGCCTCCAAAATAAAATGTTCGGATTATAGCATCATTTGCTTCGCGTCATTTTCTTCAGAGGTTTAAGCAATCGATGAGAGGAATGCAGGGGGCTCTGATGATTGCATCCGTTCTTCCCATATTAGCTGGCTTTTTTGGAGTTTGGAGAATTGTTACAAGGTGGTCATTTTTCCAGAATTATGCTCTTTGCAGCATTGTATTACTACTAGTTATTCTGTTGACCAGAAGATTTGATGCCAGTTGTTTGACAATGTATGTAGGTTCCTGTGTCCGCTTTCCATGGCTCCATTGGTGTTGCTTCTTGGCATTGGGCTATATCAACAAGGTTTTCCGCTTGTAAGAACTCTGGCTGTTGCTTACTACTATCTTATATCTCCACTTCGAATGAGCTAGATACAGAAACCTGAAGTTGGCCGTGAACATATATTTACTTCCATACCTTTCAACATTGGTTTACTAAGTTATAATTTATTTATGTTGATCGGTGATGGCAGCTGGCAGAATGTGTTGAAATTGGACTTCCAGAGTTAATTCTACTTATATTGTTGTCACAAGTAAGCCTTATTCTTAATATTTATTGGGTTTGGTCTTGAGATGCATGTATTATATATCTGCACCTATTAATGTTAGTAATCACTGAGACCTTATATAAATGTCTTTCCCCTTTGAATGACAATAACATGATAGAAAGCCTTGTTTTCTTTATTGTATTCATTTGTATTTTACTACTATCTTCTAATGGGAAAGACAGAGTCTCACATCGGCAAAACACAAGAGACATGCTGAGTATATAAGTTAACAAGTCTTAGATCCTAGTGATGCGTTTTAAACCCGTGAGGGCCCATAGTGGACAATATCACTAGCGGGCTGGGCTGTTACAGATGGTATCAGAGCATCAATTTGTGCAGATATTAGCTTTTCCATTTTGGTCTTCTAATATGTGTTTAACGAATGTTTGTGCAGTTTATTCCTCATATGTGGAAACTGAAGCAACCTTTATTTGAGCGATTCGCTGTCCTGTTATCAGTTGGAATAATGTGGGCATTTGCAGCCGTTCTCACTGTAGCGGGTGCATACAAGAACAGACCCCTGCAGACTCAGTTCAGTTGCCGAGTTGATCGCTCGGGGCTCGTTAGTGGAGCTTCATGGTGTGTTCACACTAATGTTTTCACTTATACATAGTCGCTTCTCTATTTATTCATTAAGCATGTTAAAAAATGGAGCTCACCGATATTTTATGATCAAAATCTCTTATGCTTGTTCTTAACAGTATCATTTTTGGTAAAAATTACACCTCATAGTGATTAAATGTCTTGAGGAATTATCTGCTTCAGTTGAGATTGGCATTAGCAAGTCCACACCTCTAAATGATTACTACATGTGCTGAACAGATTATTGTTTTTAACTTTCAAAAAAAGGCAAAATGGCCGCAGTACCTAACAAGTAGTCCCCTTGTGGCAATAGTCATTCCAAAACATAGCTTCATCTGATGAACTTCATTTTTATTTCGCATCAGCTAATTGATTCTGTAATAATTATGAGAGTAAATAAGTAGGCTTGATTGTAGTACTGATGTAGTCCGATATCAACCAATTCTGTCAATCTGTTACTTTATTGTGAACGTCTGTCTCAAATATTTTAGTCTGCTTCTCTATCATAAAGTGACAATGTCTGGCAGTTAAAGAATATCTGATCTAATTTCCAGATTATATAGGTTTTGTTCTTTTGCTTCTGCTCTCAAGAACTCTTGATTTCTGGAAATGCAGGATAAGATTTCCTTACCCATGGCAATGGGGTACTCCCAATGTTGATGCTGGAGAAGTCTTTCTGATGTTGGCTGCAGCTTTTGTTTCTCTCGTTGAGGTGTATATCCAGTTGCAAATGTTTAGGCTAATATTTGATGTAGTTGCTGACTTGATTCATTTTTTCGTCTCACTAGTAAAGCTTATGAAAACTTAACATCTTATCCAGTTTCAAATACTGATTTATGACTATATGTGGTGAGATTCATGATTCTAGTTGAATTTATTAAGGTTTTGGGGATTGTAAATTTTTAAGGCTGAGCATCGTCATGTATGTTGATATTGTCCTTCTGAAGAACAGTTTTTGTATCTCTTTTGACAGTCTACTGGAGGATTTATTGCTGCTGCAAGATATGGAAGTGCAACATATTGCCCAGCTTCAGTTCTGAGCCGTGGTGCTGGATGGCTGGTAGGTGAACTTAGACGACGGATTCTTTCTCTATATATATAGTTCTCTGTTGAAATTCAATTTTTCTTTTTGTTGGTGTCCAGGGATTAGGTATGTTGCTCAATGGTTTATGGGGAACCGGCAGTGGAGCTACCGTATCAGTGTAATACATCTTTCTGCCTTGGAAATGCTTAAAGTAGGGTATCTAGTTTGTTCTATACTTCACACTATATCAGTGTAATACATTTATCTGCCTAGGAAATGCTCAAA